TCGACATTCCCAGGTCACTATTCAAACTTTCTTTCTCTACCCTCAACAATTATTTTTCCTCTCGTTGTATATATATGTGCATGTAAACATCAAATGTCTTTTAAGACAAAAAATAAGAAGAAGAAGAAGAAGAAGAAGAAGAATAAAGGAAGCAAGCGAGAGGAAAAATAATTGTTTAGGGTAGAGAAAGAAAGTTTGAATAGTGACCTGGGAATGTCGATATGAAATAAAATGAGTAATGTCAATTTTTTGATTATTATACATAGGCAGAAAAATGTTTGTGTGGTGATGATATTTATTTCGTATTTAATTAATGATAAAGGATAAATATTATTCGAGATTATATTTGAAACTGTTTATGAAAAACAAATAATATAGATAGATTTAAAAATAAATCCGTTCGTTATATTGTTAGTTAATAAAAAAAAAAAAAAAAAAAAAAAAAAAATCGTCTTTCATTTTTTTTTTCCTATTTCTTGTTAGTATTGATAGAATATTTTTAAATATTTTTTTTCTTTTCTAAGTAAAAAAAATATTCTATCTATAAATAAAAAATGGTCTACATTTGTCTAATTAGATGCGTGTCTATGTGTAAAAAATGATATTAAAAAAAGAAATAATTTCTACGTAATGATTAATCTGTAAGAATAAATTAGTTTCATATTGTCATTGTTATTGTCATTGTCATTATATGTGTATATATATAGAAAAATCTATGATATTCATTATTGAAATAGATAAAATGATATTCAGTTTTAATAAAATGTTTATCATTCTCGTATAAATAAATTCTAATAAAAAAAAATAAAATCTATTTTGTTTTTGTTGTTGTTGTTGTTGTTTATTGTTTTATTTTTAAGATATCGATTATTGTCGAAGATATTCTTCGTTGTCTAATTGTGAATATTTCATGTTGTTAATCGTTTTGATCTCATCAATTATCTTTCAATTGAAGAAGATTTTCATCTAATCGATTAGGAATATTCGTCATTCTTTCTCTCCTATCGTTTTTTTTTTTCTTTTTTTTTCTTTTTTCTTCTTTTCAGTTCATCATTTGTAATGTCTATATGTCGAGACTATATTATTAGAAATAGTTTCCTCGTCTAATTTGTTACTGATAATAGTTCGTTTATTTTGTTTTTGTCATCATTCATATTGATGAGATGATCATCGAGATTTTGTTGACAGTCGCGTTTCGATTTGTCCTTGATGGATTCAACTAGAATCGAACTATTACAATGTAAAACTGACTACGACAATCAGCATAATGGAGGTAACTTGCGTTCTAGTTCTATATATATATATATATTGTTTTTTCTTTTTTCAGTTCTCTTTACATTGTATTGATGTGATGTTAGTAACTAATTCGTTACTCCCTTTAGTCTGTGTCTGTGTCTGTCTCTGTCACTCTCTGATATATTCTTCTGTTAGAAAGCATCGTTTGCCAACGACAAGAGAAAAAAAAAGAAAAGAAAGAAAAAAGAGAAAAAAAAAAAAAAAAAAGAAAAGATGAAGAGAAACTAGTTTATACGTCTGAATGATTGTGTGGAGCGAGTACGTCGAAGGCATGTTGCTTTTCCTATTCTTATTGTCTAGATGTTGTTTGAAATAGATTTAATGAAAAAAAAAAGAAAAGGATAAAAATGATACGATGAGAAAAATCTTTCGACGAGATTATCAAATAAACAAATAAATAAATCATCAAGGATTTTTTTAGTTTCTATTATTATTTTTCCTATAATCAATCATGTTTAAATGGTAAGTTAAATTTTCTCTTATATGATTATATTTAATTAAAAAATTTTCAATTTTATACTTATTAAATAGAGAACGAATATAAATGTTAAAATAAATATTAGTAGACAAAATTTTTCACATTAGAATATTTAAGTTAACATAGTCTACTCAAACTCGAAAAATTTATGTCCATATTATATACCAAAAATCTATATCAGGGTAATGATCTTGCCCTGATTGCTTAAATTCAACAAGAATTATGATTAACGAAACCTATTTTTTAGTTCAAAATTTTTTACCTTAAATATTTCTTCACGAAACTTTGCTTTTACTTTTTCTCAAATACCTGATTCATTTTTGATACTGCAATATGTAACTGAAACACATTATATAGCCTTTGCTTCACTGAAAAAAAATCATGCTATTGTCTTGTAAGACTTATCTCTCTAGAGACATCAGAATTCTTGGCTCGAATAAGATAATTTTTGGTGTCCCGTTTCTCTTTGAAAGACAGATCTTTTATCGACAATTTCAGCTAATACTATTTAAGTACAAGCAAATATTCTCATAAAGTTTAAACTCGATTCATTGAAGCATTATTAAGTTATATTCTAAAGAGTATATCAGGTAGTTTTCGTCCTTCGAATAATATTAATAAAATAGTTTGAATTCTAAAAAGAATTTTAGGAATTTCAATAAAATTAATATCGTAGATATCGTGAATAATAAGAAATTAGATTATTAAAGAAGAGATTTATTTTCACAAATATACAATTGAAAGAAAAACCAAAATATACTTTATTAATATTCACTAGAATTCTCGTTCTATGTTAACAATCGGAATAAGGTCATCATTATGATAAAAATTCTTAGTGGATTATATCCATAGAAATTTTAAGACATTGACTATCTGTAATTGTTGACATATCCTAGGGTCAACATTTTGACCACTATTGTAAATGAAGTGTTTATATTTAATATTTTAAATTTTTGATAATATTCCCATGAGTGTTAGTTTACTAATGATTTAACGTTTTCTAATTTAATTATTTTCTAGAGAGACAATATAAGTGAAATAAGATAATAGAGTATATATATATATAGTTGTATATGCATTGATTAATCAATAATTATAGAAATAAATATAATAGAAAGAATTGTGATTGACGATGACATAAAACAAAAAAATGTTAAAAAATCCGAGTAGAGATTAATATAAATTAGTTATATAAACGAGAGTTTCAATTAATCAGATTTTATCCTATTGATCGCATCATCATCATCATCAACAAATACAATCGATAAGAACTTAGGTCTTTTATCATTTTTATATTTTTATGTAAAATATGCCGAAAATTGAATAAGTCAAAAGATAGATGATGACACCATTGATTTTAATTGAACAAGAGCTTTGATCTATAGAAATATATATATAAGCTTTTAGATTTATTTTATTGAATATTTATTCTAATTTAATTTAATCTATATATTATATTTATAGAAAAATAATAATAAAAAATAAAAAAAAAAAAACAAAAAAAAAAATAATGATTTTTATATATATTTATATAATTAATAAGATGTTATTATAATAAATTATATAATAAATATTCTATACATATATATATATATATATTCGTTGTTTAAATAAAAACGTTGAAAATTAAATAATGAAGATAAAAAAATAATGTTGCATGATTCAAGTGATGACGACGACAATAATGGAGCTGATATAGGACAAGGACAACAAACGGTAAAAAAAAATTAATTAATTTTAAATTAAAATAAATAAATTAATTAATTTTAATAAAAAGGTATGTCGAAATCGTCCAATAGTTTCATTAAATCTATCAGGATTAAATAATCAATCAATTAATGTTAATATTGTTTCTCCAATAATATCAAAAAAATCAGATTATTCATCATTAACATCAAAAAATTCATCAAATAATAATAATTATTATTCTCCTCAAATAAATATTAATAAATGTTCAACTCCAACACATCGTACATTACCAAAACTTCCAACTAATTCAAATAGAAATTCTTCATCATTATCAATAGCTTCATCAATAAATACAAATATATTATATGATATACCTCAAACATCAATTATTATTCAAAATGATTCAACAAGTATTCAAAGTGATGATTCATCAAATATATATGATGGACATTTACATACATCTCAACAACAACAACAACAACAACAACAACAACAACAAACTTTAATACATAATCAAGATAATAAAAATCTTTTTCAACAAGAAAATTTTTCAAATAATAATAATATAAATAATCAAACAAAATCCTTAATAAATCCGATAATATCATCAAAAAATGTAACAAAATCGTCGATAAGTATATCAATTGATCGTGTCCCATCTCCCTCAACATCATTATTAAGTGAACATGAACGTGAAGAAAATGAACGTCTTGAACATGAATTAGAATTAAAACGTAAACGTTTACAAATTTATGTATTTATTTGTCGTTGTATATCATGTCCATTTAATTCAAAACAATCGTCAGATATGGCAAGAAAACATTTAAAAATAAATCTTAATCAATATAATATTATTAAAGAAAGATTTTTAGCTTTTTTAAATGGAAAAACACATATTGAAGCTGATGAAGGTTAATTTATATTAAATTAATTTTTAGTTTTTATTTATTTATTTATTTATTTTAATAATAGCTTTTATAAATGCTGTTAGATCATATTATGAAATATTTCTTAAAAGTGAACGTGTTGCTAAAATGGTTCAATCAGGTGGTTGTTGTTCAGATGATTTTCGGGATGTTTTTCGTATTAATATTGAAAAACGTGTACGAAGTTTACCTGATATTGATTCTCTTAAAATAAGCAACACGTTCACTTTTAAGAAATATTTCATAATATGATCTAACAGCATTTNATTTTCATTTTCATTAAAAATCTATAAATAATTCTTTTCTAGCAGATATTAATTTATTACATATTTTAATGAGAAAAGGAAGGTTAAATAAAAACCTTTACCAATTACATAAATTTTTTTGATGAACTCTCTCAAATGTCTCAAAACAATTTTTTGCTATAACCTTTACTTTCTTTGTCACGAATGTTACCAATTATCTACTATAAATACCTTTGTTCTATAATAATTCAGTTAAATGAATATTCGATTTTCTTTTCAAGCATGATGTCGAATATTTCTATCGACTAATTATTTATTTTGATTTTGAGAATCTTATTCATGTGAAATAAAAATAATTGAACGAGCATAAACATGAATATCTTTAATAGAATCATCATAAATCAATATAGAATATTCATATTTCTATAAATTTGTTAATAAAATAATTCATTCAATAATTATTCGTCTTTTATATAAAAAAGTATTATCAGATGAACCAACTTGAAAATGAATTTGCTAAATCAATTTCGAAAGAAAAAAGAATTTAATTCAATTGAGTATTGAAATTCTGTTTAAAAATATCAAATTATTCATATAAAAAAATCTTTAAAACAACAAAATTTTCATTAAGATTATTAAATAAAATAATATAAAATCTTTTTTTTTTAAACTCTTCTCTTAAAATGTAACGAACAAAGTAATAATTTCAAAAGAAACAAAAAAAAACAACAATCAATCCTTTCTTTCTACACATTACTTGTCAATATATCTGTATAAATTTCAACTTGCAATACTCATGTCAATTTATCGGTCACTAATTTCCACCATCATTCTATCCATAATTGATGAATCAATAGTTATTTCAACATTAAGTTTTTCACTAATTTTACTAATTCTTTTAAATACTGCATCAACTTCAATAAATAATTTTTCATTAAATATTTTCACTATTACAAACACAATATAATCATTTACAACAATTAGAAACCATTGAGCGATTCATAAATATCACAAATTTTGTTAATTTTTTCGCTTGTTCCTTACAAACAAATATTTCTATACTGTCCGTGTCACATCAGATAAACCTAATTTATTAAATTAAACCGATACGTTGTTCATCGTGTTACACTTAGATTACGAAATAAATCTCCAACATATTTATTTTATCTTAAAAAGGGATCAAATTTTTAAAAAACAGTATCAATTTGATTAAGTTTATTTCGTTGTGATGCTGTAGAAAATAATGCTGATGCATAGCGACCTTCTATATCAAGTACTAGAATTGGTGGAAGTAGAAGTGAAGATGATAAAGAATCAAACGAAATTGATAAAGCAGATTTTGTTGTTTGACATGATAAATTACTTGTACTAAAATAATGATTGAGTTGGGTATGAAGAATAACTAATAAACGCACTAGCGGCTTCCTATAGAATCATTATTGGCGCAAGACATTTACGTTTTATTGGCGCATTAGGGATCGAACACACTAGAAAAACTAAAACTGAATCAAGTATCGTGATTGGTTAATTTACATTTAAATCATAGTTTTAAGAAGAATCAGTGGTTAATTCAGTTTTATTTTTTTCTAGTGTGTTCGACCCCTTAACGTTAAATAATCTCAAAAAGATGATTTAACTCTGTTTTAACTTTTCCGCCAATTCCATTGATTAATTCTGTTTTAATTTCTCTAGTGTGTTTGACTCCTATAGGTTGACCTATGAAGCTGAGAAGTAACAAAAATAATATCATCTTCTTCCGCTCACTATTGGCAGGAAGAACAATGGTGCCTTGTGCCATTGTTAATAAAGCTGTTGTATAAAAACGATGGATAATATTCAATACGGTGACATTAAGGTAAACTATGGCAACAATATTAGAGCATCTCTCCGTCGAAATACTTTACGAAATATTTATTTACTTCCGATATCATGAAGTATTTAATATTTTTTCTAATCTTAATTCTCGATTTGCTGCTGTCATTAATAACATATCATTTATACCTGTTTACTTGGGTCTCAATGGAATGAGTATAGTAGAGACCGAATTTTATTATAGACATTTATCAGAACCAAACATCTCGAATCATCTTATTTCATTATGTGTCTCAGATACATTATCTATTGATAATGGTTTATGGTTAGCATCACATGTATCTACATTTATCAATCTTCATCATTTATCTTTAGTTGACATTAAACGTTCTTCTTTTGAATTGATTCTCAATTCATTGACACCCATTGATTCTCTCGTCATGTTTAGCATACAGTTTTCAACGAATTATCGTGCTGCTTATACATTTATAGGGGTGCCTGAAGGTGCATATTATGAACAAATTTTTCACTTATATCCATCATTACGTGTATGTCATCTGTTTTTCTGGCGATACACACATTATACTCCAGAAAGTCAATTCGTTCTACCACCTAACAGAACTTTTATGCGTATTCAAACAAGTCTTTTAAAATTACAATCACTTGCACTTGAATGTTCACCAAGCTTTCTATCATATTTATTTGAACATCTTCCACAACTGGAACAGCTTAGCTATACACGGTGTGATCCTTGGCTACCTGACAATCATCCACTAATATATGATAATAACAAGTAAGTTTCTTTAACATCATGTATATTTTAATTTATGAACTCAATATAAATCGTATGATAGAATTGAAGATATCTAATCATTTTATCAGAAGAAATTGTAGTTAAAACAATTATTTGTCAACTGATGACCTACATTTTGAATAATTCATACTCATTTTTAAAGTCAAATATTAATAATAGAGAAAAGAGGCAAATTGATTGATGAGTTACAAATGAGTTATGTATTAGATTTTCAAACGTACATAAAATATACAAGGAAACTGATTGAAATTAATTAACAATGGGCTTTTATATGCAATTATAGATAGATGCATCTAAAAAGAAATCATCAAAATTGTGTACTTTCAGTGAGATCAAGACAAACGTTATTGTTCTTTGTAGTTTGTAATTAATGACTTTTCTGCTTGTTGAACTGATACTGCTGAATTTGTCTCATTAATATGTGAGTTTATTATCGTGGCATTTCCCTATTTATTTTTGCTAAGAAAACTTTCTTCGTTCTTTGCAACGCATTCGTTGATAATTATTTATGACTTGAGATTTGAACATATTAGACGCAATAAACGATGAAAGCTCGAAAGAGGACTTCGAAATAAAAATCGATTAGCTCTGAAAACAATGCCAGAAGACGTTATAAAATAAATTACAATGTCGAATGAGCTCTTTCGAAAAATGTTTCTATGATAGTCAAAGATGAAGGCTTCAATAGAAAGTAGACAGTTATTTTGCAATAAAGCACAATGAATTTCGAAAACTTATTGGTCGATAAAAATGGGGGCAGAATATTCAAGAAAATGTTGGGAGACTTGTTTTCGATTTTTCTTATAATTTTATCATAAGTATGATTTTTTTGAGCACTAATGAAAAGACAGGTAGTCGAGTGGAAAATCAGAAAGAAATCATATCGAATGTGTACTCGATTTAATAGAGAAAATTTTTGAAATAAGGATGGCTATAGACACGATTATATTATGAAAACATTTTAACTCATTCAGTGTAGTTTTTACATAATCATAAGATATGAAATTATTGTATGTAAAATGTTCTTTAAACAATCTATGATTTCTACACTATATCGCGGAGGAAAGAACGATTTGAATAAAGAAATGCCGAATATCGTTGACAGAAAGCATCTGACGTACGACTCAGATAATTGAAAGAAAACTTGTGTCATTAAGAACTGCGATATTATAAGTGGTGTACTTTTTATTCTTGCAAAATGCTCTTATTAAAATTTATTTTAGTCGAATTACTCTCATTAATAAACGTCTTGCTCCAAATCTACGCCGGCTAAAAATAAAATGGTTTGGTCCTGTGATTGATCTGGAATCAGTTAATAAATTATTTGAACGTGATGTTTTGTTTTCATTGACTAGCTTTACATTTTTGGCGAGAATTGATGGTCCCCATGTTCTTCACAATTTACTATCGATGCTTTCTAGTCAATGTTTATATTCGTTGGATGTTAAATGGTTTGTGGAAACTATAATATCACTATCGGAAACAGGCAAAATTTTATGCAACATATTTCAACAACTTAAAGGATCAATGCCAATTGAATTAGAACTATCTTTAGAAGAAAACATGTATTCTATTAGAGCTGTAACATTACCAAAAATGGATAAATCTTTATATGTCTATTTTTATCTACATAAAAATTCTGTGCATGGGTATAAATAGATAGTTTTTTTTTTTATAAGAAACTTTTTTTTTGATTTAGACAAAGTCGATGGCCGTATAATAGACGTGCCTTCAACAGTCAGTTGTTACGCTGTAATGAAATTCTTATGAGTAATTATTATGATCAAATCAACGATGAATTTCTTTCTTTGTCACCACCTATCGTTCCTTGGTATCAAGTTACATTACTTCGTATTGTTCAACCATTTAGTTCAAGTCATCTTTACTTTCTCTTTTCGCAAACGATTAATCTACGTACACTAGAATTACATTATAGTTCAGAATATGAGTATGCAATCAATTTGAAAAAGGAATCTTTAGTCTATCTCCTTGACGATGCTTCGTTATGCAATATACTCATGTCAAATGGCTTGCGAGAACTCAATATTTTTACTGCTGAAACTGAAAAACAACCAAATTTGATAAACATTGCGCATTTAATTGTCGAACGATTACCGCATTTGCAAGTCATAAAAGTAGATGGTATTAGTGATCGATTGATTGAAATGTCACATATACTTATTAACAGTCTTTCGAAATTAAATTTTCTCACGATTTGTGGTGGTATTAAATATGATAAAGTTTATGATAAAAGATTGCGTGATCTTCAGAACTCAAATACTCGTTCTTTTCGAACGGAAGTTCCTAATACGATAAATGAAGATACACTTTTGGTATGGCTATAATACAATGAAACTGCGAATATTTCTTTGCTTGGTTGTATTTAAACTTCTTTTTGTAAAAGAATCGTAAGAATATTTAAATATAAATAAAGTGAAACTTTTGACTTTGTGGATGTGGGTGTGGTTTATTATTTCATAATCAGGCACACCCCTCACCCACCCACACCGACACTCGCACACGCACCCCTACCCACACCGACACCGACACTCACCCACACCCTTTATTGAGATGACTAATATATGTTGTTAAAGTCATGCTGCTGATTTCTTCATTGTTATGTTTCGTTGAGTAGTTTTCCGATAGGACTGTCACCCATGATTGGACAAAGCGCTCCTCAGCGAGATAGGCTACATCCCACTGTCTGTCATCAAGATTATTTGAACGGTAAAATACTTTAATAGATCGTACATAGTTACTGCTAGCAGAAGCTGAATTCCCAGATTTTAAGAGGAATTTTTCAAATTCTTCTGCTTTCACAAAGAATTGGTTCACTTTGGCAGGCTAGAAAAAAGGAAAAAATTCTCGAATTTTTTACGGATTGACGTTGACAAGAGCAGAATAATTTGCAAATTTGGTGTTGTCTCTTTCTTTTTTTTCCCAGCGACTTAGAAGGCGCAGCTCGTCTCCGTCTTCAACAAAACTTCGCATGCGCTAATTACTTCGCAAAGTCAAAGAAGTGGCAAAAGAGTTAAACAATGGGGGAATCGTAAAAATTCAACGAAAACAAACAGTTACCAGTAAAGCCATTGCCACATAGCCATCTTCTTCCTCCGATGTATTCTCATCATCGTCTTCGACTCTTTTTCTGGTAACAGCTTTAGACGGCTTTTTCATTGATTTCAGTGCAGCGATACGAGGAGGCGACGAGACGGGCGATGGAGCATTTGAAACTATGACAGGTACATCGTTACGAGTTGAGACGGCCGTTTTCTTCTTTGTGATAGTTGCCGCTGAAGGTACGGAAGGTGAAACATTTTCGTCTTCACCAGCTGACTGATCTTCATTGTCCTTTGATAGATTGTGCAGATCAGGCATAACAGGCGGTGATGACAAACAAGCAGCGGTAAGACGAGCTAAACGAAGTAATTAATAAAAAAAGAACAAATGTAGCTTCTTTCCTATTCCGAAAAAATACAAGTAGAAAGTTACCAGTAGTATCTTTAGTTCGACTTTGCATTTGCATAATTATCAATCGTTGTAGTTGGTCCAGATTTTGTTGTTGCTGTTGCATTTGCTGTGTCAACATAATCAATGGGTTGGTGATCAAGTTCACCAGCGTAGCAAGATCCTGAGTGCCACCGTAATTAGTGTTCTTGTTGTTCAGTTGTAGTGGCTGATTTTGTGTGCTGCTGAATTGCTGGGCTGTCGACCGAGCTGACTGATTGCCTGAAAAATGAAAGATAGTTGAGAAAACCGATTCTTCAACTCTCTTACTGCTTGGCGCTTCTCCGGGGAAAATATACCGTGGCTTCATCGATATGTAAATTCGTTTATGTTAGCAATTGTTTCTTGATAGCATCTGTTAGCTCTCGTAAGGGAATATGTGTAGCAATAGTAGAACTAATATTTAGTTCGCCAAAATTAGAGAGCTAAACATGTTTTAATAATCGACTTTCTCGTCGTGTCATATATAGAATATATTGAGTATCGAGTGATCGATACGATAGAACATCAACAACTGCGCAATAACGAAAGACAAAAAGATAATCACGAGATGAATCATAGTTGAGAGATTACGTAACAAATCAAATCAGAGATTCAAAAAATAGATAACATAAGATAAACGTTTAGCATCAGTAAGCACCATCTACTGACGCTAACAGCATCGATGATAATTCGACACGCTGGCATTTGAAATCTGTGCCATGTTTGCAAATGACCATAGATACTACATTGCTTCTTTGACACTCGTCATTGCTTGACATTTGATAATCCAAATGCTTTGCCTTTTTGAAATGGACAATGTGCGATACATATGAGACTTGTGTCAGCTGTCGTGACTGGGACAGTTGCGGTGGTTGCACTTGTATCTGGCATAATATTTGCAATAAAAATAACAACCTCTATATAAAGTACGTGTTATGCAATAAAGGAAACTTAATGTGAAAATGATAAATGCTCCTGTAAGTAGAAAATGATAAGTATCTGTCATATTTTTTGACAGTGTTTATATAGATATGCCCCGCTAAGAACACCGCGGCGGCCGACGGCAGAGAAAGAATCTTTGAACTTTCGACACCGCTGTTGACTGAAACAAATGTCTGTTCTTTTCTGATTTACTGTTATTATCAAACAAATTGATCCATAGAAGCAGACGTTGAAACTAACGCATTTATTTTTGGCAAATTTATGACACTTTTGGCAGATATGGCAAATTTGGAATTTGGCATACCCACCAAATATTTGGCAAAGCCGCCAAATAGTTGCGAAATGTGAGAAACTCTGTTTGCGAAATCTGGCAAATTTGGGACAGATTTTTGGTCAAATTTATCATTTGCCAAATGCGTTACAGATTTGGCAAGTTTTTAGCAAAAATTTGAAGGAAAATTTGGCAAGTTTTCGACGTTTGATAGATTTTTGTGAAATTCGCCAAATTGTTTGACAAATTTGTCTAAATTTTGTCAAATGTCAAAGCCAATCATTTTCAACCTGTCCAACATCTATTTTTTTCTGTATATACTTCTAACATCATTGTCGCCTTATATTGAGATTGATTTATATCTATTTGATGGTTGCATTTATCTTCCACGTGTATCTTATGAGAAAATAAAAATAAAAAGAGTCGAATTAGAAAAAGAAAGTTAAATGTGTGACAAAATCTTACGTGTTCAACAACGAATGATAATGATCTTGATTCTTGTTGATATTGATCCTCTTGTTCATTTGAATTCATTTCATTGATATTCAAAGAATTCTTTATTTCAAAAATATTTTCATTCATATCCATGATTGGTGTCAAGTACGGGTGTGGGTGTGGGCGTGGATGTGAGTCTGGAATAAATTATAAACATGACCCACACCCACACCCACCCACCCACCTACACCCACACCCACCCACACCCCACCCACCTACACCCACACCCACACTCCGCACCCACCCCGCACTTAGTCTACATCCACACTCAACAATTATCGAGATTCTAAAGAGTCGAAATAATTTCCAATAGTCAAGAAATGGTGGTTACGTAAAGTTATGGAAATTATCACGAGCGAATTCAATTTTTTGTAGAGTTGGGAAATGCAAATTAGATAGAATTACCAAAATTATCAAGAATGTTATTCATTTTTGTTAAGTATTTAAAGGAAGCTAGATAAAA